CATATGAAAAAAATACTATGAAAGTCAAGGGCTATGTCTAAAAAAAATATATCATCAAACAATTCATAAATTCTCAATGTAAAAACTTTGAATTTGCTCCAGATGCGAGATTGTGTTGATATTATCACAAAGTTGATCATGTTGAAAGGAATACAATTTATTGTATTTGTTTAAATTGTTGGTTAGTTCACAGTTTGGGTAGTTTTGCTTATTTTAGTCATCTGAGCCCCGTACAAACTTTAACTTTACAGTAAAATAATAAATACAAATACAGTGATGTTACAGGAAGACATTTCAGTGCTAGTGATATACATGCTACCAGGAAGAACAAAAAGACAGATAGGAACATGAAGGTAACACTTTTGTTAAAATGACTAAACTTTTTATTTTAAATCCCACCGTGCTATGCTAGAGGAACGACTAATGCTTGAACTTGCCTTGAGCATCAATGGGGCCCAGAGGGATCAAGTATTTTGCAGGGAAACCCCGCAGGAGGCGATAGGGCCAAACTCACAGAGGTCGGCCCGGCGCTGAGTAATCGTTCCAAGATAAATTGTACAGCCTCGGAACCCAGTGGGGGTCAAGAGCATACAGTGAAGAAGGCAAATGCCTGAAGCACTGGTTTTGCCATAAGGCCAGAGTAAGTCCGTTTAGCAGATCTCCCATACGCTTTACCGATGCTAACGCCAGTAGCAGAGCGGTCTTTAGCATCAGGGGACAAAGGTCAACGGACAGTAGCGGCTCGAAAGGAGGGCTCTTCAGAGCCCTCAACAACGTGGTCAGGTCCCATGTAGGGACGGTGACAGGGCGAGGCAGGTTGAGCCTCCTATACACTTTCAAAAAGCGAACAACTAGGTTGTTCCTGCCACCGACTGGCCAGCTATAGGAGCGTGTGAGGCTGCCATGGCTGCTACATAGACCTTGAGCGTGGAGGGAGAACGACCCTTATCTGCCGAAGATCTCCCAGATTCTTTGAACCGTATGTGGGTGGAGCATCCACTCTTCTGAGGGGACGTTGCTCCGAGATAGCATGTCTGCTCCTTTGTTCAAACTGCCTGGCACATGCGCTGCCTTTAGCGAACGCAAGTTGAGCTGAGCCCATTCCAGGAGGCGCTCTACCAGAATGAAGAGGCGCTTCGAGGAGAGACCGCCCTGGCGATTTATATATGACACCACTGTCATGCTGTCTGAGCGGACTAGCACGTGGTGTCCCATTAGGTCTGGCAGAAATGTGTGAGGGCCCAAACATACTGCCAGCATTTCCAGGCTGTTGATGTGAAGCCGACTCTCCTCTTTCGACCAATGGCCGAAAGCCAGTTTGCCATCGCACAGAGCTCCCCAACCCGTGTTGGAAGCATCTGTCGAGACCACCTTCCTTCTGCAGACCATTCCCAGGGGCATGCCCCGTTCCATCCACTGAGAGTCTTTCCAAGGGGCCAGTGCTGCTACACAGGCCTGGTTCACCTTGACACGCATACGTCCATGACGCCAGGCGTGGGACGGAACTCGTGGTTTCAGCCAGTACTGAAGGGGCTGCATGCGAAGTAGGCTCAGCTGAAGTACTGGAGACGCAGAGGCCATGAGGCCCAACATCTTCTGAAATGCCTTGAGAGGGCGAAGGGCTCCAACTTTGAATGAGGCCGCAAGCTGCCGAATAGCCAGTGCACGATCTGACGGGACTACCGCCCTCATTCGGGCTGAGTCGAGAACTGTTCCCAGGAATGATATCCGTTGTCTGGGGGACAGCGCGCTCTTGGCGAAATTGACCCAGGCACTCTAAGTGGCTAAGGAGGAAGGATCTGTGAGATAATAGCTCGTTCTCTGACTGGGCCAGGATAAGCCAGTCGTCGAGATAATTCAGAATGCGGATTCCCATCTGTCTCAGCGGGGAAAGAGCCGCATCCATGCACTTCGTAAAAGTGCAAGGAGCTAGGGACAGTCCGAAGGGAAGGACCGTGTATTGATATCTCAAGAATCGCCTGTGGCGAGGGGCTATCTGGATGTGAAAGTAGGCATCTTTCAGATCCATTGAAAAGAACCAGTCCCCTGGGCACACTTGCGAGAGGATCTGCTTCAATGTAATCATCCTGAATTATGAAAACATAATGTTCCGAGGATGTTCCGAGAATGTTATTCTAAGAATGTTTTCTCTTAAAATTACAAGAATATACATCAAGTACAAATTACATCGTAATACGTTCCATGAACGTTGAACTGAAACGTTTTATGAAAACATTATGAAAACATACAGCAAATAAAAATAACATTATAAGGACATTCAGAGAATTATATTTTAAGAACGTTTTCTCTCAACATTATGAGAATGTTCATTAAGTACATGTAACGTCATAAGGATGTTCCAAGAACATAGTTCTAAGAACATTTTCTCTCAGCATTATGAGAACGTAATTAACTATCAATAACATTATAAGAACATTTGATAAACATTATTTTAAGAACATTTTGTCCTAATAATAATAATAATAATAATTCATTACATTTATATAGCGCTTTTCTAGGCACTCAAAGCGCTTTACATTGTCAGGGGGGATCTCCTCATCCACCACCAGTGTGCAGCATCCACCTGGATGATGCGACGGCAGCCATAGTGCGCCAGAACGCCCACCACACACCAGCTTATTTAGCTCTTTCTTCGATGTATGCAGCCAGTTAAAGGAAATTTTTACACCAAGCTTATTTTTAAACAATCTTTGACCCAGGCTACAGCTACAGCAAGCAAGACCTGTGCTTCAAGCCTCATCCCCAGTGGATCTCACTCTCCAATCCGTTCTCCATTCCAGCCTTACCTTGCGGCTCTGCCAACAGTCATCCGCTTCAACTAAAGAATCTCCTCTCACCTCCCTTTCTGTTCCCCACCTCTCAAGCTCCGCTTATGCAACCAGCTTTCTGTAATCATCTGTTTTCTCTGCCAGTAATGGGAGCTGAACCTAGCACAAAGCTGGCCCCACAAGTGACAAATGCCCCAACCCTGAATTTCCCCATTTCTGTCCTGCTGTCTGCTTTCTATCCTCCATTTATCTCAGCCTCCACAAGTGGCAATGGCCCAACTCCTTTTCCTTTATACTGTACTTTGCTGCAGAATTGCTCTTCTACAGCCAGCCTTCTACAGCCAGCCATGATTTACTTATTCCACTAGCAAAAGTGTCTGGTAATAGATGGGTTACTGAGATGGTCATGTGATCTCAACATGTCTGCCCCAATCACTAACAAACAAACAAATAACAAATAAATCAAAAACAGGAAAACACAAATGTACTCAATCATATGAGTTGTGATCTACACAACAAACTTGTATTTCTGTTCTAAACTTCTGATTTCTTTGCTTAAAGGTGACATATCATGAAATTCTGATTTTAATCTTGATTATAATCAGGTCCCCGGTACATCTACCAACCATGGAAACGTGAAAAAGATTAATGCTGTAACTTTGTTTTGGTAAGCCTTTTTCTGCAAGTGTCTGAAAAAACGAGCGCGTCTGATTTTGCTCCCTTGGTGATGTCGCAAAGGGATCTCATTATAATATTACTGCCCCTTAATCTGTATTCTGTAAATTTACACCCACGGTGCCCTCATTTTGATTTCACAAGCGACAACGGTGTAATGCCATTGTGAAAGTTTGAGCAAAACATGCTAACTGTTCTGTCTTTGTCTGCACAGACGAGCACAGAACACTATTTAGAGTCCCAGCCTCAGAGGAGACAAGAGATCAGTGGATTTATTGATTTATTTACTGTATATTGCTGCTGCCACACAGATCTAAAATAAACATGATATTTATTTCCCAGCTGTTTACCTTCATAGACATAACTGACTGTTTTTGTAACTCGTGTGTTTTTAACGTAAACTTGTGTGTGAATGAGAACTTAAGCTGGCTGCACACTAGACGATTTTCAAATCTTAAAAGATTTTAAAACCATGGGAGACCACAGACATGAAGACAGTTCAACCGATTTTTAGCCTTATAATCCTCTGAATGCGCACACTAGATGATTAGACCAGACCATGAGACCACACACTTGATGATTGTAGGAACGATTTCACAGTGACACGAGATCTCACGGACACTCGCGAGATCAAACGTGACTAGAGAAGAAAAACAAATAGAGGACAATCGATGTTGTCAGCTGGCTCTCCCAGCGCATGTTCTGTTGTACAGTGAAAAACAAAGTATAGAAAATAATATGGGTGATGTTCTCTGCTTTCATGGCAAGTTTGTTGCTGCCAACTTTCAGCTATAGAAGCATGCAACATCCGGTAGGTGACGCTTGCTCGCACTCATTGGCTATCGCGGGTATCACGTCAGAGGCAGCCCGATCAAGAGTCATGTTTGATATTTACGATTTGAGTCCGACGACGCTCCGTCTCGATCAGGAGCAGTTAAATAATCGTATTGACACCACACAATAGAGGATTTTTTGGACAAAAAATCGCTTGCGACAAGCCGCGAATCGGGCCACCCCCCCGATCGTTCAGGGGTGCAAATCGGGCTTAAAATCGGCCTTAAAATCCTATAGTGTGCGGCCAGCCTTAGTTTAGTACTCACATGCCTGTGACAGCTGCTTTCTGTCCGTATGCTTCGGTTGTGTGCACTCAGAAAAGCATATATCAGAAGTTTAAACTAATATGGTTTAAAAACGCATGATTTCAGCGCGATAAACATGATAATCAGAACCAAAACAGATGTTTTTTAGCAGGTCCGAGCTGTAATGG